AAGACACAAGACCCAACACTCTGGATGAGCTGAAGACACAAGACCCAACACTCTGGATGAGCTTAAGGCTGCTATCGAAGCATCCTGGGCCCCCAGAACACCTCAGCAGTACCACAGCCTGATTGCCTCCATGCCACGCTGCATTGAAGCAGTCATTTCTGCAAAAGGATTCCTCACCAAGTATTGAGTGCTTAACTGAACATAATTATTTGAAGGTTGACTTTTTTTGTATTAAAAACACTTTTATTTTATTGGTCGGATGAAATATGCTAATTTTTTGAGATAGGGATTTTTGATTTTTCTTTACTTTTTTGCCAAAATCATCAATATTAAAAACAACAAAAAGGCTTGAACTACTTCAGTTGGTGTGCAATGAATCTAAAATATATGAAAGTTTAAATTTATCAGTACATTACAGAAAATAATGAACTTTATCACAATATGCAATTTTTTTTGAGAAGGACCTGTATATTCCATGTATATCACACTTTGCTTTAATTAGGATAATCTCATGAAAATCACGTATTTGTGCAAAATCTTAGTCATAACACTGAAAAAACTACTTTTTCAATAGACATATTTATTCATGAAAATACAGCATTCCATCCTTTTAAAGACAGCAAGAATCCTGAAATGAGAGAAGTACTCAATGAGACCCTAATCTGTGTCATTAATATTTGAATAAATTGACATCATGTCTATTACTCAATAAAAGCTCTGATRGAGTGGTCCTGTTAGGTCAGTTATCTTGTAATCTGTAATTTGATCAAACRGGTCTCATTTTTGCACCAATAAGCACAGACAGGTTCATGAGAATAAAAATCTTTATTAGTGTTTTATGAAGTCTGCATAATATGCCACACGCCTGAGAAGCTTATGGTCAGAAAAAAAAAGTTCTATCAATACCGCCCTCTATTGGTAAAACAATTGCAACATCTACTGTACTGACTGCTTTGCAAAAAAGATTACTGGTAAATACACACATGATGTACTACTGGTATGCATATGCACGTCTGGTCCGCGTCAGTGTTTGAATTTTTTTTCCTCTTTCACATTCATATGTTGTAGGCCAAAGATAAAAACAATGTAACACTGGACCCAAACACATGGATCAGTTCCCCAAAAAGCTAAACGTCACTAGTTGCACTTAAAGTACAATCTGTAGTGCCGCATGGTAAACACATTTACACCAAGGGGTGGAACTGAGGACATGTGAAACCTGCAACAGCCAAGTAATGAATTTAAGGTAGTAAGTCTTTGTTGTACGTACTGTACTTTATAGACTGAACGAACACAATACACACATTAACACAGAATATCTTAGTGTGCAGGCACATTCACTCATGTTTTGCTGGAATATTTCGAAAGCCAATCTTTATGTGGTTAAAATCTGCTTGACCAAAAGCACGTACAAGAAGAGGTCACATGTGCTCGGCCAAAAAGCAAAAATAAAATAAAAAATTTAAAAATTTAAAAAAATAAACCACAAAATAAAAATGAATATAACGGAATTTACTAC